GGGAGGTGGATTCCAAAATAAGCAGGAGAAGGTGGTTCTTTGCTCAGCTGTGATTGGTATTAACACAGCGCTGTCTGTGCTGGATAATTGACACATCACTCAATTACTGTGACAATAGTGTGTGTTGGCATTAGTCATTTTCTCTCAAGTTTTGTTATCTGACTGCTGGGAATTCATTTGCAAGGTTTCCTTCAATCCTGTGGATCCCTTCCCCAACACCTCCATCTGCTTTGGGCAGATATATTCATTTGAATCATGAATTCTTAGTAGCAGCCCTTGTTTTGCTGCACATATTCCTCTTTCTCATCCCTTCTATCACAAAAGGACAGTACATAAATGCACTGAATTATCATTGGATTGGAAATATTCCCTCAGCTGGCTGTTAGCAGGCAGTGATACCAACAAATAATGATCACTGGTGTCATGTCAACACAAGCAAAAGCAATTATTTTTGAGCCATCTAACACCAGAAAAGCAGATGTAGGAAGGAACTACCAATTAGAGATGAGAACACTTAAGGTCAGATATGCAGTGATTAAACTGATATTTAATGCACAGGGTTTCCTTTGGTGTTTTGTTTAGCTCTCTCCCTGTGTTACTAAATCTCCATGGTGTTTGTAGCACTTTGGTTAGAGGTTTCAGTCCACTCCTACTTGATTATTGGAGTTGTGTTTTTAGGGAGAGCTGGTTGGCTGGACCCTGGGGAGAACCTCATCTCGTGAAATCCTAAATGCATCAGCCCAGCAGTGGTGCAGCAGGGCTCAGATGTAATTGCATTTTCTTTACTGCTCCTCACATGGTCCCCGTTTATGAGAAAACAAGACTTCCCCAGAACATGATCCTCTGCTCAGGCATCTCCTCCTCATCTCACAACCCAAACTCCATTTCACCCATATACTGAGAGCACATCCCTGGGTCATCTCAGGGGTGGAGACCGAATTTATGCAGTTCTAAATAACAATTATTTTTCCCAGACATTTGAATCAGATTTGGGGCAACAGAACTGGAGGGAGGAAGGTGTCCATGGCTTTCCCAGAGAGAATTCTGTTGACTCACACCCCTTGGTTCATCTCTGAGTGCTGCCCATCCCTCCAGCTTTTTCAAATACTGCCAATAGTCTGTGACAGTGGCCACTGTTCTCTCCCAGCCTGTGCCTAAAGGACCTCAGCTTTTCCTTTCTCCAGTGTTCCTCCTCTTCTCCAGCCCCAGCTGGGATGCCTCCATTTGCAGCTCACAAGGGGCACCTGAGCCCTCCGACAGAAAAGCAGCAGAGGGTTTCTGTGTTGCCAGGAAGAGCTCCCTTGGTGCTCTGAGGAACAGAGAATCCCTGCACTGGGGCACCCGAGGTGCTGCCAGCCCAGCTCTCTGCCTGAGATGGGCACACCCACAACCTGGGGGAAAAGGTGTAGAAACAGTAAAAGTGTGCAGTGATGTTGGCACAGGTGCCCAGGGCAGTGCTGGAGTCCCCATCCCTGGAACTGTGCACAAACCACGTGGATATCACACTTGAGGACATGGTTTAGTGTGAACATGGTGGTAGTGCTGGATTGGGGGTTGAATTTGGGGATTTTAAAGGTCTTTTCCAACCTCAACAATTCTGTCATTCTCTATTTTTCTCTGGGACTTTAAGCTCAGCTCCACTCTGTGATTCTCTCAACTCACAAAACACCCTGAGGCAGTAATTTGGCAGTTTAGGTATGTGTCATATGAAAATATCCTTGCACTTGTTCTTTCAAAGCTTGCAGTCTGCTCTATCCACCCTCCACTCTGCATTTCACCCCCTCCCTCCCTCCTGAGCTCTGCTCTCTCCAAACAGCAGGTGTATATCCATTTAGTGTCTCCTTTTGGGAGAGTTAAACCCTTTTGGGGACAGAGGAGTTGAGAACTGGACGCTGTTTTCAAGATGAAGGCCCCCCATGAATTTATGGAGTGGCAAAATAATGTTTGCAGTTTTATTCTCTGTTCCTTTGCAGGCATTTGGTTGGGTTTGCATTGTTTGATTGTTTTTGCATTGAACTGTTATTTGCAGGAAATAACTGTGAGGACTTAGCAGTCTCTTCCCTGGGTGATAATAGTTAATTCTGAACTCATCAGGGTTGTTGTTTTTCTGAGTGCACTACTTTTCATCTATCACCACTGGATTTCTTCTGAAATGTCACTGCCACTCACTTAGAATGATGGCACCTCTTGCAGTTCTTCACCACCAGGTTTTATTTTGAGGACTTGAAATAACTTTGTCTTATGACTAATTTTGTCAGCTCATTAATCATTCACTCTTTCAGGTGGTTTTTGAATATGGTGAGAAGCTAAAGCTCCATCAGTAGCTCCCCACCCCTGTTACCTGGCTTTTGACTGGTTGGTGGCTTATGAGACCTTCCCTCTTACCTGCACTGATAGTGGGAACTGGAAGAGAAATGGCTCATACTGATGAAAATGCAAGCTTGGAGACACATTGACCCCATGGAGGCAACTCCTCCTCTGAGCAGGCAATGCTTGACACAAATGTGTGACCTGCCTGCTGGAATTCACCTCTCCAGCACCTGCAAAAGTGTTCCCTGGGGACAACCCTCTGTGTTTGTGATGTAACTCAGCCCCACACACCATCACTCACTGCCTGAGGGTCGGGGGGGAGAGAACTGGGGGAAAAAGCGAGGAAACTGTTGGGTTGAGATATAGCCAGTTTAAAAGGGAAAGCAAAAGTCACACAAGCAAAAGAGAGAGTTCACTCCCCCCTTCCCATGGGCTCAGCCATCCCAGGACTGCCCTGGGCTCCCTCCCACCTGCTGGGGGCTGGGGGAGGCAAACCCCATCCATGTGAACATCCCCCTCCTCCTTCCCCCAGCTCCGTGTGCTGAGCATGATTCCCCACGGTCTGGGCCATCCCTGGGGGCAGTTGGGCTCCCCTGTCCCACCTGTGCCCCCCCAGCTCCCTGTGCCCCCCAGGCTGGTCCTGGCAGGGCCGTGTGAGGAGCAGAGCAGCCCTTGGCTGTGTCACAGGGACTGAGCCATCCCAGTGTGCCCAGCACTGCTCCAGCACAGCCCCAAACACAGCCCAGACCCGCTGGGGGGAACATCAGCTCTGCCCCAGCCCAGCCCACAAGCTCAGATTTTGATATCCTCAGTTCCTTCATCTAAAATGGTTTGGAACTTTCAGATTCCTGGTCTTCTCCCACTCATCCTGTTTGTGTGTAACTCCTGCTTTATTGGTGCCTGGTGCATCCTGGGGAGTCCTGCAGACCTTCCACATCTGGGATTTTCCCAAGTGGAGACCATCGGCTCCTATAACCTGTTATTCACCTTATCAATTTTTCAAAAAAACTCTCCATCTGCTGCTTCTGTTTAAGAGTCTTTTCCAACAACTGAGGGATTGGAGTATCTGTTACATGAGGAGAGGCTGAGAGAGCTGGGATTATTTAACCTCCAAAAGCTGGGGGTTGGCTAAGAGGGGGTTTAAATCCCTCATGACAGGAGAAGTGCAGAAGATGGAGTCAGAGGCACTGGACTCAAACTGAGATACAGATTTCCCTTAAACTTTTCTCTTCTCTTCTCTTCTCTTCTCTTCTCTTCTCTTCTCTTCTCTT